ACAGACTCGAAAGCTGTGCAGCGTTTCTTACTGAGATTGAACTTCGTCGATTACACCGCCGGTTTGGCCATCCATCTACGGATCGTCTTTGTCGTTTGTTAAGGAAAGCCGGACATGATGATGTGAACGAAAAATCGCTTGAGACCATAACCAAATTTTGTCACCAGTGTCAAATGCATAGTCCAGCTCCGAGACGATTCAAATTTACCCTGAAAGATGACCGCGAATTCAACCATGAGATCTTTGTTGACGTACTGTATATCATCGAGCGCCATGTGTTGCACGTTATTGACTCAGCAACTTCGTTTCAAGGTGCCCGATTCCTCAAATCTTTATCAAGCAAAGAAACGTGGGAGACACTCCGTATGTTATGGATTGATACATACCAAGGTCCTCCCGATATCATCACAAATGATGCCGGTACCAACTTTGCTTCTTCAGAGTTTAGGAATGAGGCCAAGATCCTTGGGATCACATGTAAACAGGTACCAACCGAGGCTCATTGGTCAATAGGAAAGATAGAACGATACCACGCTCCTCTTCGCCGTGTTTTCGAGATCCTACATGCTGAGCTATATAGTACTACAAGTCCAGAAGCAATACTACAAATGGCAATCAAGGCGATTAACGATACGGCTGGACCAGATGGTCTTGTGCCAACACTTTTGGTTTTTGGCGCATATCCTCGGATGACCGTAGATTCACCACCATCCCCATCAACCTTGAGGCGAACCGAAGCAGTTCAGAAAGCCATGAAAGCCTTGCGGAAACTCAACGCCGACCGACAGATAAATGACGCTCTGAATACTAGAAACGGACCTTCAACTCACGAGATTCTTTCATTGCCTCTACAAAGTGAAGTACGCGTTTGGCGTGAGAAAGATGGCTGGCAAGGTCCCTACAAGATTATCGCGACCAACGGCCATGATGTAACTCTTGACATGGTGAATGGCCCAACAACCTTTAGATCTACGGTGGTTCAACCATACTACCGGAACTCCGGTGAACGTGAAAACTTAGAACCTCAAAATCATCTCGAAGATCAATCCACTAATGATTTTCAGCCTGAAATTCCGATTATGAAGCCTCAGCCACGCAAAAGAGGTCGTCCCTTGGGCTCAATGAACAAGTCGAAGAATGTAAGTGCGGCATACTTGACTAAAAAGGAGGAAGATGACTATGCTCTAGCTATCAAGTTGAGAAACGATGGTGTAATCACGTCACCTGAACCTCCCTTCGAAGACTCGGATTCAAATGAGATAAATGATCTAATCAGTCGTGGTGTATTCAAATTTGAACTGTTTAATAGCAAGATCCATGGAAACCACCGAATTTTTAAATCACGAATGGTACGTGAGGTTAAAGGCAAAACAACCAAGCCCTATGAAAAGTCTCGCTTGGTAATACAAGGGTACAACGATCAAGCTAAAAGTACCATCCTGACGCAATCACCAACCATCCAGCGAATGAGCCAACGTTTGATCCTTGCTCTCGCCCCCTCATTAATGATGAAAGGAATGATCATCGCAATCAGGGATATCACACAGGCTTACCCTCAATCACATACCAATCTCTCCCGTGTCGTCTTAGCAAGCTTGCCCTCGGAACTTAAAACAAAGTACCCTGAAGGAACTATTATTCGTGTAATTAAGCCTCTGTATGGAATTGCAGAAGCAGGTGTTCACTGGTTCTCTACTTACCAAGGTCACCATAGGAAACTGCTAGACATGTCCACTTCGACATTTGATGAATGTTTTCTCATTACAAATGGAGAAATAGATAAATTTGGTATTGTGGGAATACAGACAGATGATACCCTCATGTTATGCACCAAATCTTTTTCTGCAACAGAGGAGGAGAAACTTACTGAAGCTCAATTCCGAGCAAAACCTAAGGTGATTCTATCGGCCGAAACACCTTTAGAATTCAATGGAGCAAGAATTATCTTTGAAAATGACGCAATTGTACTTAAACAGAAAGGACAGGGACTTAAACTCAACTTGGTAACTAACAAGGTGTTAGATCGAAATCAGAGGTATATTGAGCAACTTGCCCGAGGAGCGTATATTGCCTCCATATGTCAGCCCGAGGCAGCTTTCGATATGTCGGTAGCAGCACAAGCCAAAGATCCGGACGAAGTGGAATACACTGCTTTAAACCGGCGACTCAAATGGCAAATAAAGAACATACAGCGTGGATTACGTTTCGTTCCAATTAACTTGGCCACGGCTAAGATAATGGTCTTTACGGATGGATCATTTGCTAATAATAAGGACCTCAGCTCACAACTTGGATTTGTATTGATACTTGCTAATGAGGATCAAATCGGATCTAAGACCAAGGTTCGAGGTAACCTTATTCACTGGAGTTCGACAAAGTGTAAACGAGTCACCCGCAGTGTGCTAGCATCTGAAATCTACGGAATGGTCAATGGCTTTGACATTGGTCTTGCAATCGCATCTTCTTTAAAGATGATAACCGAACGTCTTAATCTTCCTGAAATGCCTCTAGTTATATGCACTGATTCTTACTCGTTATACGAGTGCTTGGTAAAGTTAGGTACTACTAAGGAGAAACGCCTAATGATTGATATTATGGCGCTTAGACAGTCTTATGAACGAAGAGAGGTTGCGGAGATTCGATGGATCAACGGGGAAGATAACCCTGCTGATGCTTTGACAAAAGTGTCACCGAATCGTGCCCTGGAACGATTCATCGATAATAATGAGTTAACGATTCGAATTGAAGGATCGGTAATAAGACCGTAATATTAGTCAGTAAGATATGGCAGACGGGGGCTTTCTATTCAGTGCTAGTTCATAAAGAAAAGATTGCCGGTGTGGGTTAATAAGCTTGGTCAAAGCTCGACGGAGAGAGTATCCATCATGACGTCAAATATTATCACGTGTTCTAATGTTAACGATTACTCTTGTATAACTTATGTAGATGATGGAAGACGTGGAGGAACACATATACATTTTCGAATAACCAACCTGACATTTGTCGACCCTTGTGATATCACATTGTAAGACCTTCCAACAGGCTCTGTGTTATATTAACTAGGCTATATGGGAGCAGGACGATGGATACTCTTAGGGAAGTTATGCTCACAGTAGGTCTCTATAGTCGCTGTCGCGTGTGTTCTCGTGATATGTAAGACTTGACTCTATATTCTCGTATAAAGGAAACTTAGTTACAAATTGAATGGACGGAGGTTGAGACCTCCTTATATCTTGCTCCAGATTTACTGTGTTGTTCACAGCCTAGTGCTAGAACATTCTCTTATGATATCATTTCTCTCCTACGAGAAATGACCAGCTCGTTCTCTCTCAGCCTATCAGTCTCCCGCTGATTCCATTATCTCTATTCCATCGAGTTCTAGTTTGGTCCAGTATACCCACATATGCATTACACACTAAACACCCCACGGTTTAGTTCCACAGTCACGTGCATATGCTATGACGCGACCTAAAGCATGTACCATGGTAAGTTACATGGATAACACAACACTGTGATTTAATGGCCTGTTGAGTGTATAGCTGTTCGGGACTTTTAAAATTATCCGAAAAGCTTCAAAGCTCATTGGTAAATATGAAAATTTATACAGTTGATATTTTCTGATGGATACTGCGGTCACGCCCTGCGCTTACCATGAAGTCCGAGGATGAAAAGGGATAGATTATAACATTATTTTCATCGGAATGAGGATGTATCAGCAATTACAGACTGTGTGAGGCCTCGGTCGAAATCGAAGTTGGTGGGGGGGGATAGATTAACGTGGTACCTAAATTTGTGTGACGAAAACAAGTTGGTTGTAGTGTACATTTAGAAAGATTAAACTATATGAAGGGAGAAGTACCACAACTACGGGTATTGGCTATCTGTACATCCGTCCGGCTCATCCAGTACGTACTCCGTCGGTAAGTATGACACATTGCTCCACCACTGCCCGTCTTTATCCTACTTTGCCATCTAGCTTGACTCTCTCACTTGGCAATCGTACTTCGCCGTCTCACATTCATTCCCAGCTCCAAAGTAAAGTCACGAATTAAAATTTAGTCGTTTGATACAAGAAAACATGGAACTCTCTCCCTACTGCGCCCCCAAACTCTGCTTAGATCTCCACCTAAGCTAAACCACGATCAAGCCGTAACAATTTGAATTATTTGCTCGGTAGCCAAATTTCTTGCCGCTGCGAAGTCTAGCTAAATTCGTTTCTAGTAGAGTATTCCACTTCCAAGTTCGAAGGGGATTTAATTGTCTAATATTTGGTCTTGATCCTCCATCTATATGGCTCATAGTCAATAGCTTTAACAAGTCTAATCTGTCTCTAAGCTACGTGGTCTCGAATATTCATGAAGCTCTGCTGGTATAGCAAAGTATATAGGATGCTCTGGTGACTTGAAAATGAAGACATCTTCAGTCATTAGGAAATATGAGCAAATTGGAATCGTGGGAATAGTACTGACTCGAAGGCGCAAGAAGCATCTGATTCTGTCCAAAAGAAGACTGAATTTTTGCATCATTACTTGAAACTAAATTAGCGCTGCGATTTTGTATTCTGGTTAACATGACTAAAATAATTCCTGTGGGTTTTGTTACATATTTAAGCATATACTCGGTGACTTTTTCGACCTCTAGTTGGTTTATAAATCATGAGAATTCAAAGCCCCGAATACGTATTCCATGTTTAAACCGACAAAAGATAAAATCTCGCTCTACTCAATCCATTCGCCTGATGAGTGCGATTAGTCCCCTACATATAAATCCATTTTCCAACCGAAGATTATATCAAGAAAACTCCATTTTCGTAACTACATTATGCTTTCCTGTGCTCCTCATACCGACCCTTCCGACACCGCTAACCAATAATAATGAGACGTTACCAGCCAAATAATATATTAAAACCTCAAATGCTTTTTGATCTACCTCTATCCGTCAAGCTATACTGAACGGTAATAAGCCCTCGTACTGTTTATGCTATAGCAATCTAGTTAGTGCTATGATTCCTCCTTGATGTGGCAAGATGCAGATTTTCCCCGAAAAGCTTCCGTGTAGTCTCCCTGCACTTCTTCTTCAACCCCAGACAGCTCTCTCACCAAACCGTCTCTTGGTCTAAATTTGCCTTGATTATTATGAGACATGTTACCGTTATCGAAAGATGAGCGCCAATGAGAAATACTCCAAAAAGAGCCTGGCTTGCTTAACGGCGTAGTTAAGTCCTGCTCTTTAATAGGTTCATTCTTAAAGCTGAATCCCGGTGACGGGGGTAAAGTACATGCACGGATGATGGGTACTGGAACGGAAACATCGGTATTGAGAGCCATCGACTCCGTATTCGAAGTAGACAAATATTTAATATTTCCTTCGATCTGCGATATTGATGATGTTTGAGAATTAATGTGCGTAGACTTCCTGGGAGAAGAACTTTTTTCGCTATCAAAGGAGCTACAATCATCCTTGACATTACTACGCCAAGATAGAATATGTTCATTATATACTGAAGTCGAGATAGATAGATTTAAAGAAGATTGGGAATTGTGCCGAGAACTGTTTGGAGTCTTAGTGGTGATACTATTGGCACGGCGAGAGGATGATCTCCTTTTCGAAAATGTTGAGTTGGTGTCCCACTGATGACGTCTCTCGAACGCACAATCAATGCGAAAACACTTGACAGATCCACGATCGTCTGAAGTTATAATGATAGGACCATCAGTATGTGAGGTTCTAGCAAGGTAAACTGGAGACTCCTCAATCTGTTTTGAGTTTAAATGATCTACGAGTCGTATATCAAGGTCCTCGGATACAGAAATGCTATGCTCCTTTCGACTCAAGAGAGTGACAGGGGGGGGATTACAGATATCGTAAATAGGATCGCCAGAAGCCGAGAGAAGCCGCCTGGTAGCTTTTGGAGCCATAATTGCTGTAGTGACGATATTGGAATGAGCATTGAATATTTCTACAGGAGGCTTTTCCTTAGTTTCCGAGTCTGTTGTACTTATTTTCCCTATTCAGAAGTAAGCCCATGAAAATTAAGTCGGATAAAAGAGCGCTAGCTGGAATAATAAATTGCAGTAAGCTCATCACAATGCACTCACAGATATATATCTTTTGATCCTCACTACCACATATTACATAGCGGCCGTCGTCACTAAAGCTGGCATTAATTTGGCTACAGGTACTTTGGTGACCTCGGAATTTCATCTCTAACCGCTTATCTTTGAAGTGATATAACCGTATACGAGAATCGTTGCTTGTGACAAGGATATTTAATTCTCCGGCGTCTGGATGCTCTGGAGGAAAGAAAGAGGGTCTGATTCCGGTAATTTTGCTTCCTTTTGCATTCTTGCCACGTGATGAGCGGACATAAAGTTGGTTGCTCAGTTTTAACCCATCATCTGGATCTATATCGTAGAACTGGCATAATCCGCCCATACCACCAGCAATGGCTGTCATCCCGTCAGGTGTAAATGATACAGCAGTTATCAGATCCGGAAATTCACAAGAATGAGCTACTTTCCTTTCGGGAATACTCCAAAGCCTTAGAATAGAGTCGAGTGAGCCAGCTAGAAAAAATCGATCGTCAGTGGGATGGAAAGCGGTAGATGTCACGATATCATTGTGCTCAAATGTACAAAGACACTCTTGCCTTGAAGGGTGCCAAAGTTTAACAGCTTTGTCCGTGGACGAAGAAAGTAAGAAGTTATTTTTACTCCAATTGATATCCAGGATTTCACCAGTATGCCCGCTATATTCTTGTATTGGCTTTGATCTTAGTACAGGTGCACTTAGTCGTTCTCCGCCGGAAGCACCTGATATCATATCTTCTTCGCTTTCATGATTGCGACGCTCTTCGGAGGTCGATAGCACAGCCCAAACTCTGATAATCTTGTCGCGACCAGCGGCAGCAAGATACCGTCCATCAACGCTAAATTCCATAGCCCATATTGCCCCAGTTGGGTTCCTAGCTTTTTCGGATTTAGGTAGGTCTCCAGCGTCGTTTTTATCTGAAAGAGGGTCGTCTAAATTCTCATTAATAATTTCTTTACTACAACTAAGTTCCTGCGCTAGAAACATGTGATTGAACTCTCGATTCTTTTTGAAACGTGTTAGAACCTTGATATAGCTCGGTGGGTTCTTGTGCTGTGGAATGAATCCATTCGCACCGACAGTTGAGGAAAATACATGAGCATTCACACCCTCGGTACATGGATAATCCACTTCAGAATCTTCAGGATATTCAGATTGATCTTTTTTTTTACCGCTCTTGATTGTAAATCGGCTGAGAAAAGAGACACCTTTTCTGTAAGGTTTTAGTGATGTAGGTAAGACGAGATGATTTCAGTCAGCGACGAAATTGCAACTACTTACTTCTTTTCCTTTGGAGGCTGGGTATCTGTGTAATGGAAATTGGGCGAGATTTGAGATTTTTCATAAATGTCGAGCTGGGTTTCTGGGGTTTCATCAGTCAGATCTTTAAGCTCTATAACTTGATCTGAAAAAGTCTGCTGTGTAATTTGATGCTTTGGTGAGCCTAAATTCCTTGGAGCTTGTATCCTATTCGTTTTTGCACCTACTTCTGAGCTATATTCTTTGACCAGAGTGTTTTTTGTTGCCCGAGAGGGGGACTTGCTACCATTTTGACCTGCATAATCTGATCTGAGTGTAAGTGGATTGGTTTCCTTCTCCTAGTTTCTACCAAATAGCTTCGAGAGAATAAGAAGTTTCGCACCTTCAGAGTACACAGGGCTCTTAAATTTCAGCGGTTTCTTTGAGGCTGATCGACTTTTGAGACTAGTTTTCGTACTTCCGTTCTCTTGTATCTTATCGTTCATCGTGGTACGTTTTGATGTAGAATAGTTGATGTGTTGGATAATATTCCATATATACTGCATACAGTTAAGGCTAGTATGGTAAAGATTTTGGAGATAATACTTTCCTAGCCACGGTAGAGGGTCAGCTGCGAAGGGATTGTTGTACTCTTCAGCTCTCTGTATATCCAAAAGTTCTTGCTCGGCATGGTGTATGCCAAAGACTGTGAAGCATACCTGTGGCACGACAAACCTGGTTACTAAGTGTAGTGACAGTCTTATCTAGATCGGCTGAGCAGTCTGTCGCGCGGGTGTCTCATTGTTGCGTGGGTTGCATGTGGATTCGGAATGAATGTAGTGACGATCACTCAGAACGCGATCGGAGGAATGTTGATATCACTTGTCACTCCACATACTTGTTTCCATTTATTACGTGGTCTATTTTGCTTAGCTTCGTGATATATGGAGATCTCGTGAGTCAAAGCTAGAATTGTAAGCTTTTTTGCATCTTATTTGGAGTCTGCATTCATGATGCAAACGCCGACCCTTACGGCCATCTACATGATAAAATCGGTAGCTCCTCGCTAACTGACTAGTTTCATAGCAGGAACTGTCACAGGACTACCCTGAGTCTTAATCCAGCCTTCCTCCTCAGGCATCAGAGTCAGCCAGGACCGCTATTACCTGACTTCCGACACTTACAGTTTGTCCGGGTTTCCAGTAAAACACCTTACTAATAAAGCAAGTGATACTCTTCCACAAGTAATCGCGTAAAGCCTGCATTTCCATCGCGCCAGATCCGACAAGAATGTAACTACAGCGCCAGCTAACGCCGAGGAAGCTTCAGGGCTAATCCCAGTTTTACGCGCCTCAAGGGTTGATTGATTTGATGTGGATTCCTTAGGTCACAAGGAATGTAACGTTCAAAAATTTATTCCTAAGCGTTGCTGAGGTCACAGAGTGGCAACACGATTACAGCAAAGATGATTGCCGGCTACAAGAGATGCATCATCGCAAACGCTACCTCTTACTAAGGAACCTCCCTGATCCGTTCGAAGAGGATCGTACCAGTAGAACTTTGAGCTTATATACATATTTAACCCGTTTGTAGGTGCAATCATAGAGTGGAAGGCCAAATAATTATTGCAAGCTGAGAAATTATGTTTGATATCAGGTGATATGGTATGATACTTTAATATCCTATTGAGGCCAAAATTACAAATCCATAAAAACTCCTTGGCTATCAGAACTGTATTTTACGAACTTTCGGTTCTTTTTCCGAGAGTTATGGAGTGGTAAGGTTTTATGTATTACTAAGTCAATGGCTTTCTAGCTCATCGGGCCGCTTTCGGGCCCAGGCCACACCTTGCACAGTGCTCCTATCATCTTCTGGCACTTGAACGATCATTGATATATTGCCCGTGATCAATAGCCATTCAGGGATGAATTTTATTTAGAAAGGTACAAAGTATTACCTGGTGAATTAGTAATGGGAATTCCACCAATAAATTAACAAAATCCCCAATTTGTATGGAACAGAGAAAATAGATATAAATAGTCTGCCCTACATATTTGTAAACTTAAATAGGACACAAATAGATAATTAATGGTTAATAGCCACTCAGTGCGGTAGGCACCCATGGAATTCAGCCACCTTTTCCACGGAACCTTCTACCCAAAAATACCGGTTGACCTCAATTTACGTATACGAAAGGTTAGTTCAATGCAAAACGAAAGGTGTAAAAGTGAGGTATGTGTTATGTCGTCTGTCTCTATCGAAGAACATTATGAACCTAGGGTTCGTTGTATTAGCTGAGCCCTTGAGATAATGACTCAGCAACGGAGAGGTGCAACGCACTTAGTGTACCACAAGTAGAAATACTTTCCAACAAAGATAGTAATAAAGAAATGGTAGCAGTGGAAACTGCGTGCGCGGGAAAAAGTCTCAAAAAACCTTCAGCCCCAGTCAGGCGAGGCCTGGACACCGGAACCACATGAGGTGAGTATATTCATCTATATCTCCATTCTTTGTGACATTGGAGGGCAACTTGATCAAATTCACTATCGCCGTATCGGGTGCTGGGTATGCTCCGAAAACCCATCGGATGGCTTCTTCTCCATGATCAAGGGTTGGTGATGAGAAGGGCTTCGACTCTGCTAACTTATCTGATGGTGGTTAGCTTCATGATAGAGGTAATAGGCAGTTGTGTTAAGGTATGAAGACGATACATTCAGCGTAAGCGATTGGGAATCCTCATCGAGGTGAGGACTTTGTTGCTCAATCTCGGCTCTGCAGATTCGTGAGTGAGAGCTGGAGGCTCGTAGGGGGTACCACTGACAGATGCCGAGAACAGTACCCCGCTGCTTATGTCAAGTTATTTAGTAATGTTAATATTTTTTCTAACTCAGCCGACGAACCTATTGAATATGTAAGTCCTTTATATATACGGCTCAAAGCTAGCTATTTATCGGGTATTATATCCTTCCCTTTACCTTCCTTCCAGCAGTATCACTCTTGATAAGTCCTCGCTTGATCATATAATCAGAGGATTAATTTTCCCGCCAGACCTCCTCTCTTGTATCGCTAAAACGAATGACTGTGGGTAGATTCATGGCATGCGGAAAAGGCTAATAATCAGGGGGTCCGGGGCTCTCCTGAATCTGGTATGATGACTAAACTCGAAGACAAAGCTGCTCTTCATAGGAGATTCTAGGTCGGCATACCAGGGCAATTCACAAATGTATATACGCTAGAGGATAACCACCCGCCTTCCAAGTATTCATTAAATTCCTTACCACATTTCCACCTCAGAAGACATCGGTAGACGAGATTAAACTTCATAAAAGTCTAGGTAGAGAGGATATTCGATCAATTAGCCTGGCTAAACTTCTTTGGGGCGCCAAGCCGGCAAAGACGAACTCTTCACCCTCCAGTGATGCCAGTGTAATCGCCGAGTTGGCTCTGCATATCTGGTGTAGCCAAGAAGAATCGCATCGGAATGGAAGTCGAAAGCAATCTCAAACATATCTAAAATCAATGACTTCTCAACAATATGGGACCTATCTTTCTCACGCAAAGCTTTCAACTTACTCATATTACAATCCAGCTGGCCTCAGCGACTGAATAAGTAGCTACACTAATTGCAATCGGGAACTTGCCTTATCAAAAATCAGCCATCTCCCAGCACAAAGTTACGATGCTATGTATATCTGGGAGGAGAAAACTACGTCATCATAAACAAAGCTCGGATCTTGGGCTATGGAGGACCGTTGTTCTAATGAGGCTTGACATCTTGACGGGAGACAGGTAGCTAGGACGGGGGACGAACGAGTGGACATATGGCAAATGGACAAGCTGGGACTCATATTATTAAGTATTTACGACTTGGGGTGCTTATGGGCACCCAGGCTACGATATCGGATATTGCTAACGACACTTTTGCGATGGGCAATGACGGAAGGTGTTGTGATTCGTCTCCTAATCCTCATCTGTCTAAGGTAGAGTCTGAGTAGCCGGGACACCTTCCTGACTCGAGAAAGGGAGGACTGAGAGGCTATATCTCACGCTATACCTATATACAAGATGGCAAAGGCATTTTAGGGTAGCCAAAAGTATTTGCAGGTTTCCCTTTGGTGGAATATAACTGTTGAAGGAAGGTTGAGAGTCCCTAGCAACAAGGTCTTGAGTGGTATCAGGATATGCATCCACTATACGAGTAGTCCAAACGTCAAACTGAGTTATCTTCGTATATAGCCTTCTCCGTGTCATGCTCTATGAGGGCTAGGCGAGTGCAGCTGACACTCTAAATACAAGCCAACGAGAGAAGGCGCCGTGGTCCGCATCCTGGTAGTGTTCTCTGGTACAGTTTGAGGAGTCTACGTACCTACTCCGCATGGGAAGGAGACGTTAAAGTTAACATTTCGCGCGGGGAAAAGTCAACGAATGATGGAGTCATGTCTACATAACTCAGGGTTTTTGAGACGGTTCCCTGAGTGGGTATTCACGGATGAGGGTTGACTTGGGGTGAAGAAAAAGCCACAATAGCTTCGCAGTGGTACTTGCGAATAAAATCCGAGTCATGAGTGCTCTGGTTATAATCTAGTCATCTATGGTGTAATTTTTTCTCTGATATTATTTCATAGCTAGATAGCTGCATACGAAATTAAAAGCTGATTCCAAAAATGAAAGAGTGCTTGACTTGTGCCCGTTACGAATTATTATTCATTCATTTCTCTTGACACAAAGGGTTAGGTAAGTTTAAATTCCTGCACAAGTCACAAGCTAGTTTTTGGTTAGATACAAGAATAGTTTTCAGGATAAATGCCTGGACTAGTACGCCGGGGGAGATTAGGTTTGGTTTGTTCAGTAACATGCTAGGTAAAGTGACTACCGTTGCACTCCTACTGGAGCTTAAGCACGGGTTGGGCCAGGCCGGATCAGGTTAACTACCGTCAAGTACAAGTGCCTCGTCCCACCTGAATGACCGGACCACCTCAAACTTCACCCATGTATTGAATCATGTCAAGCCCAACCGTCCAGAGAACCCCCTTTTGGCGCGCAGAAGCGCAAATTCCTCCTCAGCCTCGGCCACCACGCGCCCGAGCCCTTGACACCTTCGCCGTCTATAACTTTTCCCTTCGGTTCATTCGCAGCTTTGGCTCATCTCAGCATCTCCTCATCTCATCCAGGGGTCGTTTTCTTCACTGGAGGCCTCATCCAGTCGCCCACCAAGGCCTCCTCAGTTTTTATCCCCTTTTAGTTCCTTCATGTAGCATCCCTCTATCCTTCAGCCAATATCATCGTCCAAGAAACTTTGTAGAATGTCCACCCCTCCGGCCTTGCCCCGTCGCTGCCGTACCACTAACCGTGGAGGTCGAAAACGCGACTGAGAGCTCAAGACCGAGGCACCGATGCCCAGCCTTTGACAAACGCTCTGGTTGGTATGCCAGCGAATTGTCGTGCGTATTTCGTCGGTGGCGATTCGTCGCAGGTCGATTTGTTGGTGCCCTTGGCCGAGGTGAGGACGCATCTAAGGTCGGTATCTCGACCGAACCTTCACACAGACTGGCAGTTGCAGAAGGTCGGATGTCCTCTTGCTTATTTTTTGGCGATTTGGCTTTTGGTGGTATGGGATTGCTTAGGTAGATGGTGAGATGATTGTGGAGAGGGCCGCGAGATGAGTTTGGCTGAGAATGAATTTCCAGAGAAAGGAAAATGAGATCTTGAAGGTGTCAGTTATTGTGATACGAACATCAGACAGGCTTTAGACTGTCTGCGGTTCGTATCTGGGATGCAGATGGTTAATTTCATTGAGTTGCGCAGTCGTGAAGTCTCTGCAAGCCAAATTTTCGATAAAAAATGAGTCAATACCACTCCTTCCGATCGCCAACTCGACGAAAACTTTCAAATTCCCCCTTTTTTGTGACTGAATCTCGGCTCTGAGGGAATATTTCACTCCCAGATTTGTAGAGAACACCGCTGATAGGTGTTTAGTCTTCGTCCTCCAAGGGGGAGTGTTGTACGGTTCACCCAGAAACACGCTTCACGAGATGATGGCCAAGCCTAATTAGGTTAGATAAACTTGGCCGTTACAATTGAAATACTCTTTCGTGCGGAGGGCAAAGGCTAGGATGAAAAATACTGACTCAACACTGATTATAATTTCATTTTAACAAAGCAATTCCTTGTTAAATTATTTACTCGGATAATAAGCTCAATATTTCTTAGCTCTACGATGGGTGCGAACGAGTAGGGCAAGCCTCAAGGCTAAATCTTGGCCGGCTCCACTAGTCTTACGTGTTAAAATATTGAAGGATTCGTCCTAGGACCTGAAATCAAACAAGTTAATGAATAAATGATGAGTCTAAGGGTAAGGATTCGTCTAGGATTATATGATCTAGGCTTGAAGACGGGACAAGGCTGTTTTTTCTTTTATTTAAAAATATTATCATCCTTTCCCAGCGCCAGATTATACATGACACGTAGGTCCTCTCTACCTACATGCCGAAAATACGCATGTCACTAGAACATCAACCCATATGACCCCTATACAGCTCCCCTCAAATCGTAAAAACTCTCACAAGTCCCTATCTGATCATACCCTTAGAGGTGCCGTTCGCCCTTCGGTATCACCACCTTCAGTCAACGAAACAATAGTAATTTGCGGGGGTTATTGCAGCAGGGGACGATCGTAAAAAACATTACTTGCGGGGCTCTTCTGATACCAATAACAGGAGTTAATCCGAAGGCATAGCTACTCCGCTTAAGCGTTCGAAGAGGGTAGTCAGTTGGGCGCCGCAGGCTTGTAGGTTCTTCAAGAAATTTAGTCTCTGCCTTTCTAGCCTCCTTCCAACTCTTTTCCGAGGTCTGCGCTAAATTTTCCGAAAGGTCCTGATAGTGTGGTTTCTGTGTAGTAGCATTGTCGACCTTTTTTATGCTATCTAGAGAACTAGGTGTTACGGCAGACTCATCGATAATAGAGGTCCTGACTAAGTACCTGAAGTATTAGCCTTGGCGCCCACAAACTTTCCTAGGTATAAAGCACCTCGAAAATATTAATCACTGAATGCCCGTCATAGACCTCTTCCTCCTCTCGCTTCATATCTCAACTACCAGTTCTCGCACTGGATTAGAGAGGAGCCCAATGTGCTAGATAGTCTATGACTCAAGTAGTACAATAAACACACACACATACCATTTCTCGCTTACATTGTCCCATTAGAGCGACAGTCCCCCAGAAGCCAGGACACAGTCTATGTATATTTTCACTTATTACACTACTTTTGTACATACTTAGCGTCGTAATTTGTGGTGAGAGATGGCCGGTGATTCATGAGGCAAGCTCCCAATTTAAATTCGGGCAGCTTCGTGAGTAGTCGTTGGGGCGAAGTTTTTCGTGACAAAATCGTGTTAGATTGGCATGAAAAAGGTAGAGAAGATATTGACGAGAAGTTGTCGATAATAAATACGATTTTGTCTGCTTTCGACTTCGATTCGGTTGCGATTTTTCATAGCTTTCCCAAACATGCAGAACATACTGAACGATTATATCGGCACTGTTGAAAGGTGAACATCTGATATTTGCCGGCTTGGACAAGGCTAGTTACACTGTGTGGTGATTGTTATGATCCAATCTGGCCCCGATCGTGCCTGGATTCTCAAGTGTAACGAAGGAGGCAGATAGCTGAGCACGTTGGTAGTTGAAGGAGACGGATAGGGGTGAGTGAGCAAGGCGCCGACAATGTGACCGAGTATAAACATAGGTATTTTTCTCCCGTTGGCCTAATTTAACGTATCGCACAACCATTCAGGTTACCGTCGAACCTCAGAAATGGCCACCATTGAGTCACCCGTTCACAATCACCTAGATTTCATGCGAAAAGCACTTGAGCAAGCACGTAAATCACCTGCAAAACCAACCAACTTTCGCGTCGGAGCATTACTAGTTGACAGTGACACGCAAACTATTTTATCTACAGGCTACACTCTTGAGTGTGAAGGGAACACACACGCTGAACAATGTTGCCTCATCAAACTAGCGTTTGACCGGAAAGTTTCAGTAGGTGATTTAGCAATTATGCTGCCAGAGAATACAGTTCTATATACCACCGTCGAACCATGTGTGCTTCGACTCAGTGGCGCTAAATCGTGTGTCGATCGGATTCTCAACTTGGGAAAAGCTATCAAAACAGTGTACGTTGGTCTGGCGGAACCGGCGCTTTTTGTGAGCGAGAACAACGGAATGTGCAAGCTAGAAGATGCTGGTATTAAGGTGGCTGTTATATCAGGCTTGGAAAAGGAAATTCTCGAGGTTGCCACCGCAGGACACACTACGTAGAAATGCCCATCGCTCCAGAAAGGCTGGCCGAGATTACCTGACTCCCCACCAGTCCGGATTCGATGTCGTCATCAGGTTAAGCTTTCGCTTACAATCAGCTTCAACCTACCGTTCTTCCCTGAACATACTGAGACGCCTTTTATCTGGAGCTTCACATCTGGA